CGATCCTCAGCACCACATAAAATAAAATAAAGGTATTGTGTTCACCTACCACTAAAAAATGTTTTAAAAACTTGTGCTCTAGACTTAACTGCCTGCGCATTTCCACCTTGAGCAAGTGACTTGACCTGTCTAAGCCTCAGTTTTCTATTTTTTAAAACAATGATAATAATAATACCTGTCTCATAAAGTTGTTTTAGGATTAAGTAGGATAATAAGTGTTAAGTGCTCAGTCCAGCCAGCACATAGACACGATTCTTTACCATTGTCGTCGTTGTCATCACCATCATCATATCATTGTCATGATTATCACCATTTCACCTTCATTATTATCATTGCCATCATCACCATCATCACCATCATCATCACCATCATCACCACCATCACCATCATCATCATCACTGTCACCATCATCACCACCATCACCATCACCACCGTCAATATCACCATCACCATCATCACCACCATCACCACCATCACCACCACCATCATATTACCATCTCCATCACCATCACCACCACCATCACCATCACCATCATCACCACCATCACCACCATCACCATCACCATCATCACCGCCATCACCACCATCACCATCACCACCATCACCACCGTCAATATCACCACCACCATCATATTACCATCTCCATAACCATCACCACCATCTCATGATCTCCATCATCACCATCTCTTCATCACTGTCATCACCACCATCACCATCACCATCATCATCCTCACCACCATCACCATCTCATCATCGTCCCATGACGTGACCATGACCATCATCACATCTGTCATCACCATCACCATCATCACAACCATCATCATCGTCACCATCACCATCATCACCACCATCACCATCACCACCACCATCATCACCACCACCATCATCACCACCATCACCATCACCATCACCACCATCTCCATCACCATCATCATCACCATCATCATCACCATCACCATCACCATCACCACCATCTCCATCACCATCATCATCACCATCATCACCATCATCATCACCATCATCACCACCATCACCATCACCATCACCATCACCACCATCACCATCACCATCACCATCTCCATCACCATCATCATCATCATCACCACCATCACCATCACCATCACCATCACTGTCACCACCATCACCATCACCATCACCATCACTGTCACCACCATCACCATCTCCATCACCATCACCATCATCACAGCCTTTCCTTCTTGATCACCCATCCAAATCTCTTCTACATTGTCTTCCTCTTCCTCTTCCTCCCTCCCTCCCTCCACTTCTCTTTTCACCATCTTCATCTTGAAATTGAATGCCTGATGACAGTGCTCTCTGGGATTCTGGAAGGTTCTAGTTCTCGATAAGTAAGAAGTGAAATCAGCCTCCCATTTCCCAAAGCTTTTTCACTCTCAGTTTCAAACCATCTGTCCCTCGACAGAACACACGTCCCGACTCTTGGCTCAGAGTGAGCTTCCTCTCCTGGCACTAGAAAAGCTGATCCTGTCCTCCTCCCGCTGTCCTGCTGTCACAGTGGGACCCCACGCCTGGACCACAGCTGGCTGCACCAGGAGTGGAGGCCTGGCCCCAGCTGACCCCGGCCGAGCCTCTTCCAGGAGTCAGGAATCAGGCAAGGGGCAGTCAGGATGGAGAGAGCACACAGTGGTTGGAGCAGAGAGAGCCGGTCCCGGAGGACAGAGACCTAGGGCAGCCTGGCAGAGGAGAGGCTGAGGGGCCAGGAAGGGAGACTTGGTCCTGATGCACCTGCCAGCCAGGAGAAGGGGGCGTACCAGAAACCCAGCCAGCTGGGACGCTGACCTGGACGTCCAGGCCCCAGAACCGTGGGCAGTGAATGTCTGCCGTCCAAACCCGGCTTTGTGGAGGTGCGGCGGCAGCCCTGGCAGACCAGCATACAGGGCTTCCAAATGCTCTCCGAAAAGAGCAAGAGGTAAGTAGGTAAGTGATTGGGCCTATGGCTCTATGGCCCCTCTCAACGGTCACCTCTGCTGTCAGAGTGAGACCCACAGCCGTGAGAAGGGCATAGCCACGCTCCAGCCAAGCTTCACTGGTACACACAGGCAGGGGCCCGATCTGCTGTCCAGGCTGCAGTTTGCGATCCCTGGCTTAAAGCCACAACAAACATTTATTTTGTTCAGAAACTTCAGTTGTGACAGATGTGGTGGGGGCTGCTTCGTGGCTTAGCTGGAGTGCTGGCCGGGGCTGGAGGACTGCCCAAGGCAGTGCCCATACTTGGTGCATCCAGCTGTGGGCTGGAGCTGCCTTCTCTCCCTGTGGGCCTGTCCATGGCTGCTTGGGCTTCCTTTCACCATGCGGACTCTTCTAAGTTCAAGTGTCCCAGGAGCGCGAGGTAGAGGCTGTCACTGCTCATGAGTTACTATTTGAAGTCACACTGTGCCACCTCTGCCCTCCTCACAGCCAGCCCAGATTCGCCTGGTGGTGGAATGAGTGTCAACACCACACTGCAGGAGGTCCTGCCTGGAATCCGCCTCCTCGTGGTAGACACAGTGCAGACAGAAAGGCCTTGGGTGACTGCAGACGGTGGCTAAGTTCTTTGAGCAGGGGACTTTACATAGAAAAGCTAGGAAGCCTCTCTGGGGCTGCGTCCAGAAAGCTGAGGCCAGAGAGGCGCGGTGGGGACCCCGGCAGCTAGGCGTACGTCCTCTGCATCGCCATCCACTGGGGGCACTTTTCCCAGCCAGGTGGGTCCATCTGGGCCTAGGAAAGGAGACTGTAGTCCCCATCACCTGTGTGAGGTGCTGCCGCCAGGCTGTCACCTGGCTCAGGCGCGGAGCCCGCGGAGCCCTGCGTGGGGCGTGGGGCGTAGTTTTTCTTGCTCCGGACTGTTTTCCGGTTGCTGGGTGGTTCCGGGTTTACAGCCCTGAGAGTTTCCTCCAGAATGAGATCAATACTGCCAGCCCTGTTTTATGGGAGAAGGATTTCCAGATTGCACAAGTGCCCCACGGCCCGTGGGTGGAAGGCGCTGGCCAGTACTTGCTTGGAACTGATTGCCACTTCCCAATGGGATCTCAGTTGCAATCCACGGCTGTGTGAGGAAAGGCTGTCGCATCAGCCAAAAAGGTTGGAGATGAAATGGAAGGAAGGAAATGCAGAGTGAACTGAGAAAGATGGAAGCCTTTATCTCAACAGGGCCTGGGGAGCAGGCTGAGGCTGGGCACCCCTGGAGGAATCCTCCACCTCCTAGCAACAACAGCACCCTGCTCCCCCAGGCTTCCTGGGTGCCCATAGCCTGCTCCTTGAACTGTCACGGCAACCCTGAGGGAATCCGTATTATCACCATTTTACAGACAAGAAAACTGAGCTCAGAGATGTTAAGTGACTGTCCAAAGCCACACAGCTGGAGGGTCCTGAGATCAGGACTCAAACCTAAATTTTGCTAGGACAAGTATTTAGCCTGTTGCCCACATAGTCACAACATATAATTTTTAATTAGCACCAAACAGCCCTGAAATACTATTCCATACCCATTTAGATAGATAAAGTAAGCTGAAACAAAATAAGAGATAATCTCCGACGTCAGCCAGTAAAGTGCAGAACTGGACAGTTACACCGTGGGTGAGAGGTAAAGGTTCTGGGTGGACTGGGGAGCAGTCTGGTCACTTCCAATAAGATCCAAGGGCACAGGACCCAATATGTCTGCCTACCAGCACTTAGAGGAACTCCTGAGAACCAGAAGAGTCAGCTAGAAAGTGCGTAAATGGCAGAAGTGAGTGCTCCTCACACAGCCCCAGCCAGGGAGGGAGGCCCTGTTCCCGCCTGCCTGGTCTTTAGGGAGGGGCTCTGTACCAGGACTAGAGGCCGAGGTGGAAGTCTAGGGGCTGGTTTTCTCCAAAGCTTCTTAACCAAAGGTGATGCCCCCCATTGGGAAGCTGGGTGCAGGGTCCCTGGCTAAAGAGGCTTGGAACAGCCTCCTCTCCTGCTCTGGGTCTCAGGGTCCACTGCCCGGTCAGGGAGCCCGGGTTGGCCTGGCTCACCTGAGGCTGCCCAGCCTTAGCGCCTCTGCTTCTGCAGCTCACTGCACCCACCGCTGCCATTTGCCTTGCCCTTACTAGCAGAGCTGGGGACCTGGGCTCCTGCCTGCGAATTCATGGTCCAGGAAATGTGCTTTAAATCCGCCCCAGGAAGCTCAGATCCAAGAATCAGGCACCATCTCTCGGTGGGGGGAGCCAGTGGAGAGCCAGAGTAGAGAGCCAGAGTGGAGACCCAGGGAGCCTCCCCTAAGCGCTCGGCCCTGGGGTGGGGGGTACCTGTGGCAAGGGCGCACGGGATTTGGGCGATTCTGCTCCAAAACTGCTCGTGTGGCCCGACTTTCACTAACTCGTGGGGGGAAGGAGCCCACCAAGTGCACGTTTTCTGGAGGTCATCGCGCGCCCCTCGCCTACACTGGACCGCAGCGGCTGGAAGGAAAAGGGCAGGATTGTTTGCCACAGGCAAAAGCCACCTGTGGTTCGCCGCGAGCCTTGCGGGTCCGAGTGGCGGATCGCGGCCACCCACGCGGGCCGGGCTCGGGCGCCTGGCGGTGGCAGGGCCCGCTGCGCCCGACTCGGGCGGTGGCCGAGGGCGCCGGTGCCGGGCGCCTTCCCGTCACGCGGTCGCCGCCCTCCGCACGCAGGCCGGGGCCGGGGGCCGGGGCGCCGCGCGGGACCCCCGCTCGGGCGGCGGCCGCGGGCCGCGGGAGGGGGCGCGGGGCGGGGCCGGGCGGGCGCGCACGCCGCCGCCGCCCCGGACCCGCCGCATTGCTGCTGCCGCCGCCGCCCGGCGGCCCGCGGCCCGCGATGGTGCAGCCGCCCGCGCCGCCGCCCGCGGGCCCCGCCGCCGCCCTCGGGCGCCCGCAGCGCGGCAGGGGCGGGCGGGGGGCTGCGGCCCGGGGCTGAGCGCGGGCGGGCGGGCGCGGCGAGGGGCTCGCGCCGAGGTGGAGCCGGGCCGCCGCCGCCCGCGGCCCCCCCGCGCCCGCTCCCCTCCCCTCCCCCGCCCCTCCGGTCCTGTCTCCAGCGGGAGCGCGAGACGCTGGTCAGGCTCCGCGGCGCCGCGGAAAATGAGCACTCGCCCCCGTTGACTCGAGTCGCCGCGCCGGCCGCGCCGCGCTGCCTTCTCCATTGCTCCCCGAAAAGCGAATCAAAACAAAAAGCCAGCAGCCAACCAAGACTCCGGCTCGTCGCTCGCCTTGTTTTTTTCACCGCCTGCGGGATTCGCGAGCCGCGTTACATGCATGTCCAGTGGGGGTAGGTTTAATTTTGACGATGGAGGGTCCTACTGCGGAGGCTGGGAGGACGGCAAGGCGCACGGCCATGGCGTCTGCACCGGCCCCAAGGGCCAAGGCGAATACACCGGCTCGTGGAGCCACGGCTTCGAGGTGCTGGGCGTCTACACCTGGCCCAGCGGCAACACGTACCAGGGCACTTGGGCGCAGGGCAAGCGCCACGGCATCGGCCTGGAGAGCAAGGGGAAGTGGGTGTACAAGGGCGAGTGGACGCACGGATTTAAGGGGCGCTACGGGGTGCGGGAATGCACGGGCAACGGGGCCAAATACGAAGGGACCTGGAGCAACGGGCTGCAGGACGGCTATGGCACGGAGACCTACTCGGATGGAGGTAGGTGCCCGCGGGTCGGCATGGGGCCGGGTGGGTCGGGTCGGAGGAGGGACCCTCCCCAATCCCCCCTCTGTTTATCTCCAGGGAAGTTGAGCCTCTCCCTCCCCTTGGACTGTGGGCGCTCAGGGCATTTCTCGGGTTCTCTGGAGGCCTCAGTGGCCCTGGCTACAGGTTGCCCCAGGCCTGGTGGGGGGCAGCGCCGGGGTGCCAACTCAAGGGTGTCGGGGGCTCTCCAGCAGCAGAGCCAGGCTGAGGGCTGCTGCTTGAGCAGTGGATGAGCGCATCACCCAAGAGCAGGCCAGAGACCTGCTGGCAAGGCCAGGCTGGGCCGGTGGCCACCTCTGGGACCCACTAGGGGTGGAGGGGGTGGCTGGAGAGGGCCCACTTTCCTCCAACACTGTTGCCCCCCTGGTGTGGCTGGAGTCAGGTACCAGCTTCTCTGCTTGTTTTCCTGCGGCGCCCAGGGCCTCCCTCAGTCCCGAACCAACCCAAGCCAACGGAGAGGGAGACTGGGAGCACTGGGGGGGGGGGGATGCCAACCCAAACCAAAACAGCCAGGCAGTAAACTTCTAGGTGGTTGGACGCGGGCTAGCACTGTCGAGCAGGCTGCTGGAGGGAGGAGGGAGGCCATCTGCTTAGCGAGAGCCCAGGAATCTCTCCTTTCAGTGGCTGAACCATTTTTACCGTTAGTCGGGGAATGGCTCTGGGTCTTCATTCTAAGATGCCACCACATCCCAGCCGGACAGAGCCAGGTGCCGGAAGCCAGTGAACTGCCTGTAAGATGGTTTCTGTGCAGGAAGCCTTGGCTGGCTTGGCAGCTGCCCTCTTGCCTGGACTCTCCAGTACCCACAACTCCATGCCTCTGAGAAGCAGGGAGCCATAGCGACTGGTCTCAGAAGCCAGACCCAAACCCAGGCGGGCCCACGGCCCCTCCCCCACTGGGAGCTCTTGCCCCGAGGTGGCTCCCGCCTCCCTCCAGGCGGCTCTGCTGTTTTGCAGGCCTGGATGCCTGGGAAGGGAGTGAGACGCAGCAGCAATGACTTGTGCTTCTGCTGGGGATAAAATCGTGAGTGTGAGCGTCTGTGTGCTCGCCCTGCCTGCCTGCGCCTGAGTCTCCTGCAGGAAGCCCAGAGCTCTGCTCCTCCACATCCAGGAGAGATGGAGGGCTGGAGAGTAATTATTATTTTGGCTTATGCAACTGAAAGGCAGGGCTCCTTATTACCCAAAGAGGAGGCGGAGTCTGGGCAGTTAATTATATAATGCTCCCGCCTGCCGGCTCCAGGCCCAGCCCGGTCCCAGGAGGCCTGTGCTCTTGTTTTCATGGAGCAGGTCGGAGAGCCCCACGGCCCCTGGGCCTGAGGGCCAGGAGGGAGCAGGCAGCCCTGCTTCGGAGCCAGGCTTCGGAGCCAGGCGTGGGCCTGTGTGTGTGTGCGCGCGCGTGCTTGCACACGCAGGCCTGGCAGCAGTTGTGGGTGGCAGAGGCAGGCAGGCAGGCAGGCAGGCAGCCTGGCGCTCCCAGCTGGGCTCTGGGGGAGCCCAGGGCAGTTGTCGCCCCCAGGGCTCTGGCTGGACTGCTCTGCAAAACTGTCCTCCAGAGGGGCTCCCAGTGAGTGGTGACTGCTCCAGACTGTGCTCCACGTCCTGGGGCAGGCCAGCTTCACTGGGCAGGTGGGAGGAGGCCTTGGCCTCTCCTTGCCTGTGACGCTGGTAGGAATTGCTTGGGGTGAAGTCATGTCCCCAGGCCTTGAGCAGCTCCGGTGGCCTGAGGAATTCTTTCCCTCATTGGACAAATACCTCTTGGGCACTTGCAGTGACCAGGTGCTCCGGGCTGTGGGAACACAGCAGTAAGCAAGCCGAGGGCGTCCCTGCCCTCAGGGAGCTTCTGTTTGGGGAGAAGAGTGGAGACTCCCTGGGGATTCTGCAGGGAGGGAGCATCTGCTGGGCTGGCTGTGAGCTCGTCCCTGCGAGGTTGATGTAGGCAGGTTCTCGGGGCCACCTCCTTGGGCTTTCCAGCCCTGCGTCCAGCCAGTTCCCAGAGTGCTTCCTGTGTGTCCTGCCCATTGTACAGGCGAGGCCAGTGAGCCTAGCTGTCCACACTAGCTGGAGTCCTGGGCTCCAGTCTGGGGCAGCAGAGGCTCTGTTCGTCCGGGGCCACGCCCCCTTGTTCCCACCCCACCTGCCCGCCAGCTGCCCGGCATGTCCACCTTGTCTCAAGGGACTGTGGTCCTCGGGTCTCCTGTAGGCGCTCTGAGGCGGGAGCACAGGTGCCAGCTTTGGGGATGGTCCTCCCTCTTGGCTGGCCACATAGCCTGAGGGAACATTGAGTTGACCCTCTGCCCAGGGGTGACCAGGCTCAGGCATCTGGGGCTAGTTCTCTGAATGTAGTCCCAGCTTCTCAGGGGAATGGAGTGACCCCTCAGGACTTGCATGCCTGGGCAGTCTGTTTGTGTCCACAGTGGGGTGTGGTCACCTGCCAGAGTAGGGCAGGGGTCTTGCCGCCGTCTCCCTCCTGTGTCAGGGACAGACGGAGCCTTCAGGAGGGAAGGTCCCACCGCCAGTCCACTTGGCTTTTGTCCAGGAGGTGGGAATTTGGGGCAGCAACTGCAGAGCTCCCGAACTTTAGCCCAGCTCCAGTGCTGACTTGGGAAACGAGGCCTCATGGAGAATGCAGCAGTGGCGAATGTCTCCCACATGGAGCTGAGGCTGGTGTGGACTGCGCTTCAGCTGGGGACACTTGTGCCAGCTCCTCCTCCGGCTCACCCTCCCCCGGCTCAGGCAGGCGCTGCTCTTAAGTGAGCCGAGCAGCTCCCACCGCCTGCCTGCGTGGTGTGCCTGAGCCTGGGCGGCAGGGCAGAATCTGCCACCTGGCCTTGGAGCCTTACCCTGCCGGAGCTCTGTGCCGTGGCCTTGGGCAAGTTACTTAACCTCTCTGAGCTGGTTTCCTCGGTTTGCAGAGGGCTGGTGACAGAGCTGTGAGTGGCCAGGAGTGGCCGTTTGTGTGCAGGTGGACCTGCAGAAACGCAGCAGGCACCTGTGGTGGGCCGTCCTTGTTGCCACTGTTGGCAGCGGTGCCACCGTGATGGCCATTAGAGCCACTGGCCAGGCATGATGGGGTGCCCGTGCACACACGAGCAGGCTGCGGTGCCTGTGCCGTGTCGGGCTCCCAGCTCCACACCTGCAGAGGTGACCCCGCAGGTCCCATCCTGGCTGGGGAGCCAGCGCTCGCAGTGAGGAATGTGGGGGAGGGAGGGCCGGGTCCACGCTCAGGGTGGCTCAGGCCACCTCTGCCCACTCGCGCGTGTGGAATTCCTATTCTTTCCCGTCTCTCCTTCCCTCTGGGTGCAGTGCCCAAGTGCAGGCCGGCTACCCCACCTGTCCCTGGGGCCCTGAGTCCCCTCGTGCCTCCCCGCTCGCTGGACGCTGTGCTTTCTGTGCAGGTAGATGTGTCTCCTGGGCGCTGTGGACGCAGAACCCTTGGACTAAAAGTCACCCCCTCTGATAATCCCGCCCACATCCTGAAAGGTATGAGTCACTCACACCCGGCCTCTCGCCCTCCTGCGCAGGGCCGCTCCCCAGCCCAGACTCCTCACCCACACAAATCACACACACCCACAGCCAGACGAGCCACCCAGGCGCCTGCGCACACACGCGCACAACACACCTGCCACAGTCCCCACCCCGCCCCCAGCGGCCACGTGCCCTCTCCCCGTGGCTGCACCCTGCAGCCTGTCTGGGGAGTTCCGCCGGCTCCCGGGGGGCACGCCTCGATTCCGTGGGAAACTCAGCGCGCGGCTAGTGCCTGTGGAGAGAGCCCTGTCCTCTCCTCCACCCAACATGAACTGCCCGCTGGTGTAGTATTGGTGCTTGTTGAAGTCCAGACGCCCAGGTCAGGAGGAAGCGTCCCCTGGACCCAGACACTGCACCAGTAGATGCTCGTCCCAGAGCAGAGCACGAGAGCCCTCCCGCAGGGTGGGGGGAGGTGATTCTCAGTGATGCTCTTTCAGCCACGGGTGGGGTGTTGAGAGGCTCCATGGCTGAGGGGGGAAGGTGAGCAGGTGACCTCCCCTCACAGCTGGGAAGGGGGTTGTGAGCAGCGTCCCCTCTCCCAGCTCTTCCGCAGGGGCCCGCCGAGACCCGGAGGCAGTGAGTGGCAGGGTGCTGGTGGAGTCCCGGCTGATGCCAGCCTTCAGGGTGGCAGGAGGCAGGAGCGGGTCCCAGCCGCGTGCTCTCGGGGCCTGGGGAGAGGGAGACCTGGGAGGCTGGGGCCTTGCCTTCCTCAGTTCCCCAGTCTAAACAGCCATCCGCCTCGAGCTAGTGATTTTTGTGGAACTTTTGTGCCTTTAAATGACAAGTACGTCCAGGTCTGTGAGTGCTAGGAGGGACGCCTGTGGAGTGTCCACGGTAGACCCTTGTGGGTCGCTTTGCCCAGGGCGCAGGGTCCTGGTGGGAGAGGCCACCGCCTCGGGGCTCTGGTGCAGCGGCGGCGGGCCCTTCAGGACCTTGGAGAGCGGCGTTCCAGGCCTGCGCCGTGCGGTTCTCTGCAGGTGACCTCCTGGAGCCCGCACACGTCCTCACTGGGGACCGCGTGGACCCTGGGCACTCCTCGCTGAGGACCACCTGGCCAGGACTTCCCGCGGGCGGGGCTCAGAAGTGTGCCCGGCCCAGCTCTGTCCGCGTGTGGGTTCTGTTCCAAGGAGCGTTTGCCTGTGTCCCCGACTGTCAGTCTGTTCTGAGGGGGCGGAGCGCCTGCCAGGTGCCGCCACCTACTGGTGGACTGAGAGTGTCCCGGCCGCCCGCCAGCAGGCTTGGGGGCTTGAGGCCCTCCAGGGCCCTGGGCGGCCTCCGCTAGTGTGTGCAGGGCCCTGCGGTGAAGCAGGTGCCCGGCTGGCCGGGGAGGCAGCCAGGGAGAGGGCATCGCTCCCCACTCAGCATCAGTGCCCCTGCCAGTCACAGAGGCCCATTCAGCACGCGCCCCCAGCCATACGTGGCTCTGTGAATTG